GTATGTATAAGAAAATATTTTTCATCATGATTAGGCGGCAAAAGTGAATCTTATAATTACACAATATAATCTTTTAGCTTGTTTAATTATTCGAAATGGGTGATAATATTTCGTACATTAAAAATGAACAATGAATTAAGCAACTCTGTAAAATACTAGAGATATGCTCATATTCTAATTCACTAATAAAAAAAACTCTGTTTATAGATCTTTGCCAAATACCATATTTATTCTTCTCAACATCATCGGGAACGGTGTCTTATAATACAGAAAACTCCACAAGTATCCCAATGAAGGTTGACGATAGAGTTGGCGCCTTATTGTCATATGAAGCTATCAACAGACGGTTTTATCTCTATGTTAATGGTGAAGGAATCACAAGTTATTATTTAGATGGTTCTGATGAGATGACAACAAACATCGGAAATGTGAAGTTATTCACTGTCAATGGAAGAAACAATTTGATGTATTACTACCATGAACTGCATAGTAGAATATATGTGTATAATATTACTGGTGATCAATTGCCAGCGACTGAAGTTGATGCTCTCAAAGATATATCTAGTGTAAAAGATCTGGAAATGGACACAACAAATGGGTAAGGCGAGCAAGGCTTGTTTTCTTACGATTTTTTTCAAAAATGTTTAGGTTTTTATATTAATTTTACAAGGAATATATTCCTCAAACAAAACGTGTATAAAATGAATATATTTGATGACAGCAACTCTCAACTTTCTTTCAAATTGTACTTTGTTGTTATTGCACGTAAGACTTTATGAAATTGCTCCAGGCTTGTTTAATTATTAGTTATGTCAGTGTAAGTTGGAATTGAGTTACTTTAATATCCTTCACAGTTACCTCTACATAGCAAGAGCAGGTGATCCTCCAATCGTACGTTATAACCCAGCAGATAGCAGAATAATGGAGTTCAATTTTGATGGTTCAGCGCAGTCAATTTCTGTGGATGTGTACAATAACGTCATTTACTGGGCAAACTATGATGGAATCAATCACAATGTTATGAAAACTATGCTCAATAAGCAAACAATTGGTTTAAACATTAGTTATCCTGGATCGGTTGAATTGACGTCTGATGTTCTAAATTTGTATGTCTTGGACACCAGCAACAACCGTATTGATAAGTACTTGAAGACATCGTCCGAAAAACAAGGACATTTTACCTATCATGTTACGATAAATGACTTGATAATTGCATATGGTGAGTTTGCTCTTTTTCTTACTTCAACTTACATGAAACATAAGACATAAAATTACTGACATTACATTATTTTTACTGACTTGGTTACTCTATTTCCTGTCGTTGTAAACATAATTTAAAAATTCATATTTCTGTTCTGCTCTGCCTAAGTGTGTTTCAGTGCTACCACACACAATAGAGTATAACAGAACATGTGTTGTTATTGAATGTTGGTTTTGATTTTTATCAGCAGGCACACAGAAAGAACTTATAAACATTCCATTCATTTACAGACCATGATGAATGTTGTGCTGGAACCTTCTGTCACGTGAACTCTTCCTGTGCAAATTCTCTGGGAAGTTTCAACTGCTCCTGCAATGAGGGATTTGCTGGAAATGGCACTTATTGTCAGGGCATTTTTTAAGGAATTTTGACTAGTGGGGTAAAGTGTGTATTAGGGCCCATGCGCAAGACAAATATGTAATAGACGATTCCCCTTACTAAGAATTAGTAGCGCTTTGCATTATGGTTATGGTGTTATCACTGACATTCAAGACAGTTTGAATGAAAATATTGAATGTTTTCCTCACGATTTTGCTGTTGGTCATTCCTTATACACCTGCCCTAACTTTCCCAAACGCTCTTGCACAGGTGAAGACAAAAATTTACATGTGGCTTGACAATCAAAGATACCACTATAACCATGATGCAAAGCGCTACTAAATCTCAATAAAGGGAATCGTCTATTACATACAGATGTCAGGGCGGCGGAACATAATATATTTTGGGGGGCTAATTTCACGAGGAATTCGCGAATTTTTTTTGGAATTTCAATGCTCTAGGTCTTCGGAAATGGCCATTTCAGAGTCTTACTTGCTGCTTTCATCGTAGTTTTTGGCAAACACCGCAAACTGAAACGGCACAGCGCGTGTTGTGATATTTTCTGCATTTGAAAAATCATCTCTCAAATTCTCAAAATAATTTCCAAACAAAATGGCGGTCCGAAAATAATAACAATAATTGTACAACCACGAATAATCTGCTGTTAAAGACAACTATGAAAGATCAAAGAAAGTCAATTTACATTCACTTGATCCGTATCACAATATAGGATATCTTATTAGCATTTGATACGCCGGCGAGCATTAATTTGACGATTTCGTGGTAACGTAATATGTATGTATATTTAATCTCCCATTCTGGCATTCTTCATGAAATTTTTGAGGGGGCTAAAGCTCCCCCCTAGCCCCCCTGTTCCTCCGCCCCTGACAGACGTCTCACGTAAATGCCGTAATTACATACGTATTTATTTCTTCGAACAAATTTCAAGGCCCATATGTTAAAACTGATAATTTACCAACCCTTTACAGTGAAAAAAGGGCCCATTCTATCAGGAAATCAAGGTTCACTACTGGGGCAGGCACAGGGCCTACTGGGGTAAATGCCCCAGTAGTTATACACTTAAAAAATGCCCTGCTTATTGTGAAGGTAACTTTGCATGTACACTGATGGCGGTCAAAAAGAACTGCTCAAATGTTGCTATTATCGTATGTAACAGGAATCGTGACAATGTATCTTTTATTGTACACTAGCGGTCAAAAAGAACTGTTTAGATACAATTTCATTAAAAAAAAGCGAATATAAGAGAGAGCTTCATAGGCATTTTGGATAATTCTCTTATTCCAAACAATATTTCAATAATGTAAAGCAACCTGCCACACTTCCAAGATATAGTCAAGCAATGGTTTCAGGAAGAGGGAGTGACAGAAATGGATTGGCCTGCACAGTCAAAAACCTTAACCCTATTGAAAATCTGTGGGACAATGTCAAGGTGATAGTACAAGAAAGGATTTCATTCATAAAGCGTCCATGATTTTTTGGGTTGCTGTAAAGACTGTCCATAGGATGAATTTCTTTTGACCTTGAAGATTACCACCTTAACAGAAAGTATGCCACGCCGGTGTAAGGCCATCATCAATTATAAGGCCAAAGGAGGGTCAACAAAATATTTAAAATATTTCTTATAGCTTAGCATGTAATCTAGTCTATATTTACTCGTATATATTGTTAGTGGGACAGTTACGTTCATTTGAGAGCATTTTAACTTGTTTTGAGCAGTTCTTTTTGACCGCCAGTGTATATTAAAATTATGCCAACCTGCGCAACTAGCCAATGGATGATTCCACCTACAAACAAAATTTTATACTAGAAGAATAAAATCTAACAACACAGGTAGAAGAGTACTGGAGTGAAAAACCCCTTGCCTCTTAGCTATATTTTCTGTTGCATGTAGCTCTAGGTGTGCTTAATCGTGAAAGAACGAAACGACAAAAAGTCATTCGTATTTTCGAGCAGTTTTGTATCACTGTCAGTGGAAACTGCGATTCCATGCAATGGGATATGTGTGATAACTGTGATAAATGTGATAAATTCACCTTCTTCGTTTGAAATGACGGGTTTTTATAGCAAAATTCGGCCAATTTATAGATTTTCTTGTATATGCGAAATTCTATTTTTTCCAAGTATTTACTTAATTAATTACTTAATTAATTACTCAATTTTTCATGCTTGGATAATCTAACCCATAATTTTATGTATTCAAATTAATTTTTAAATTCCTGCGCGTATAAGTAATTGTGTGAAGAATTTCCTCTGTATTACACATTTCTTATAAGGAAAACTTTTACATTTCTACACAATTTTTATGGATATCTAGTTATTGATTTTGAAACAAAGTGTTTCAAATGAAATTTTTCCTAACATGCAGTTTAAAATCTTTTATTGCTTGCATTAAACTATCCGCTGTATAATACAAAAAAAATTCAATAAAACTACAAAGCAGGGGCGGATCTAGGATTTTTTTTACATTAGTCAAAATTTTCGTAGGCCAATTTTCGTCACCAATCGTCCTCCCCCCGCCAGATTTATGAAATTTGTGAGGCTTTCCAAGCTTAATGCCAGGTTATAGTCTGCTAAATTCCTAGGGCACAGCTATTGAATGCCGCACAAAACATTGTGTAGACGTTTTGTGGGTATAAAATGCATGTTTTTATAGCAATAGTCAAATCTCAATAATGGTAGAAATTTACCCCTTCGAACAGACCTCTCAAGAAATTTTCAGCTCAAAATGTTATTGTCTAGTGAAATGTAAGAACACAGGTTTATTACGTTTTCATTGAATTTGGTCAAAGCGAAATTGCTTTATATTTATATATTATAATGATTTCGCGAATATCCATAGCTTTCTAAATCTTTCAAACTGCAAATTACAGATTATTACACTAGCTCACAATGTATACAATGCCAGCAAGAAGAATCTGGGTGTACCATTGTATTACATTACATCAAGTAGCGCGCTATGATCGCAGGCGCAAAAAGATGGCGATTTGGCGCCAACGAAACGTTTTTTTTGTTTTTGACTGTATTATTGTATAGTAACAAGTAAAATATGGAGAAAGTCACAATAACTTGTAAGTAACACGTATAAGGTGCCTTATTTAGTTACTGCGGCATGTTGTAATATTGTTCATATTTGTTGTAGCGAATCTCATGAATATTCATGTGAATAAAGTTTGTGACGCGTTTAAAGAAATTGAAGTTTACATCATTCGAAGTTATTTAACCGAGTAAAATGTCAGTTCGAAGTAACGAAAGCGATAAAGAGACAATAGTTAGTAATGAAGAAGCCTCTACTGCAAAGTGCGAGAGATCACGATGCTTGGGAGAGCTTAAGGATGAACAAAGTAGAGTACAGCAGTCGATAAAAGATTTTGAAACGAAACCGGAAGAAGTAAAGGCCAGAATGGACAGGTATGAGAGTACATTCCATAAGTTCGTGAACAGTCATGAAAATTACATGAAGTATGAGAGAGATGAAGAGAAAAGAGAATTGATGACTGATAATTACAATAGTCAAAGAGATATGAAACTGCAGCTAGATTGCATGATTGATGTGTGGAAAAGTAATAAGGAAAGATTCCAGAACCCACCATCAGAATCTGGTTTTAGTATCACATCCCGTAAGAGCCGAAGTAGCAGAGTGTCCAGTAGAAGCAGCATAATTGAGAGGCGAAGAGCGCTAGAAGAAACAAAGTTGAAAATGCAAACACTGAAGGAGAAGCAAGAATTAGAACGCCAGTTAGATTTAGTACAGCAAAAGAAGACAGAACTCAACCGCAAGATTGAACTGTTAAGTGCAGAATCTGAGCTTAAACAAGCGAAAATTGATCTAGTGATGGAACAGGCCCCTGATAATAGAGATGATGATGGAAGGGAACTCTTAGATGAGTTTCGGATAGATATCGAGCAAGATAACCTAATCCCTGACCCACCTGTCGAGCAACATAACCTAACCCCTGACCCACCTGTCGAGCAAGATCACCCTAACCTAGAACCAACTTATTCTATTTCCACAACTTTCCCTGACCCAAGACAAAGGACCATGTTATCACAACATGTGACACCAAGCTCACACAACCCTCATAGTTCAGACCTGCAGCACAGTGCACCGGTAGAAAGATCTGTGACGGACACACCTCACCTTAGTAGAACGGAACAAAGAAAGAATATTAGACTGAATGCCACATCTCCAGAATATATTCCCAGTAACAATGTTCAGACCGCGACAGAGCAAGAAACCTATGCTCAAATGGATGCATGGAGCTCTATAGCACAGATAATTAAGGAAGGACCTTCCTTACCGAAAGTAGAATTGATGAAGTTTTGTGGAGATCCCCTAGAGTATGTTGAGTTCCTGACAAACTTTAAGGACAACATAGAGTCGCAAGTAAGAGATGAGTCACAAAGATTCACCCGGCTATTAGCGCAGTGTACTGGGAAAGCAAGAGATGCAATTAGGAGCTGTGTTAACCTAGATGCTGATCAAAGGTACAAAGAAGCGATGAGCGTGCTTCTTGAAAACTTTGGTCAACCACATATGATTGTTGAAGCCCACATGAAAAGGCTGAAAGAGCTACAGATCAAAAGATCCGATGCAGTTGCATTGATGGAGTTTGTGCGTTATCTAGAAGATTCAGAAAGAGCTCTTAGAAGAATGGGAAATGGTTACTCGAGTAGACTCGATAATGAAGACGTAATAGTAATGCTAATGAAGAAGCTCCCCGAGGATAGTCTGAAAAGAAAGTGGGCAGACAAAGCTGGAGACATCATTAAAAGCAAGGGACTAGTAACATTCAATGATTTTGTGAGTTTCCTGAAGCATATTGCTGGACGCATCAACAATATATATGGAAGAGAGCTCAAACTAACGAACGAGGCCAAGAGGCTGCCGACGACTAGGCTCAGATATGATCAACCAAGAGGAATCCATACAAGTGCCACGCAGAATAGATTTGACGATGATCAGAAAACGCAGAAGTTCCGAAAATGTCCACAGTGTTCTGCCCCACATGGCGTCTGGAGATGCCAAGTGTTTAAATCAGCCGGACTGGAAGATCGTTTGAAAACAGTAAAACAGCACAGGCTCTGTAATATATGCTTGGACGAAGGTCATTTTGCGAAGTCTTGCAGGAGCGGGTTCACCTGTCGTGTAGGTGGCTGTGGGATGAGTCACCATTACCTCATTCACAGAGAACAAAACACAAAGAAGGATGATCAAAGAAAGAAGGACGATCAAACAAACAAGGATAACGCTGACAAGTCTAGAGAACAAACCCCGAGAAAAGAGAACGAAGTCGCACAACGAAACACTACTGAAGAGAAACAGAAGCTAACAAACGCGCATTTGTCAGCATCCTTGCCCGAAAGCCCTCTAGATGATCCAATCAACGTTAATGCCGTCAAGGCTAACAAGCCGCGTGTTTGCTTTAAGGTCGTCCCAGTCAGAGTGAGTGTTCCCACCAGTGAGAAAGAGTTTGTCACACATGCGTTTTTAGACAGCGGTTCGGATGCGACACTTTGCTTAGAGAGCCTTGTTCGAGAACTTTCAGTAGAGAACGCTAAGCCAGTAAGGTATACGATGACTACGGTGAATTGCGAGCAAGAACGGATCGGTTATGAAGTACGATTGAACATAGAATCACTATCGGGCGGTGAGAAGTTCGAGTTAGAGAATGTATTGACTACCGATAGTTTGCCAGTGACCCCAAAGCACGTAGCTGATAATGATGAACTCAAGGAGTGGCGACATTTACGAGACTTGGTTTTGCCAGAAACCGACGATAAGCACATCACAATATTAATTGGTAGCGACCGGCCAGATATCATTGATAGCTGCCTTGATAGACGGGATGGTGAGAAAGGAGAACCATGTGCGGTCAAAACGCCTTTGGGATGGACAGTATATGGCCCGATGGGAAATGCCGAGGATGAAAGCGTCTCGGTCAGTCTCACTCGCTCAGAATATGATACATTGGATCATAAACTAGAACGTATGTTTAACGCGGAGTTTGACGACATTAATGAAGATTTGGAAGAAAGCATGTCTGTTGAGGATCGAGTGGCGAAGCAGATGATGATCGAAACGACAACGTTGAAAGATGGCCATTACCAGATTGGACTACCATTCAAACACAACCCACCACACCTCCCAGACAGCCTGCCCACAGCGAGAAAAAGATTAGAATATCTAAAATCGAGGATGGAAAGAAATCCCGTGTTCCACGAGAAGTACAGCAAGGTGATGAAAAAATATGAAGAGGAAGGAGCAGCTCGAGAAGTACCCGACGATGACCTTGCAAAGCTTAAGCCACTGTGGTACCTACCTCACCACGCTGTATGGCACCCGAGAAAGCCCGAAGAGCCGAGAGTTGTCTTCGATTGTGCCTCTAAAACTGAGGGAGTTTCATTGAATGATGAGATGAGATACAGGGTCCAGAAAACACCAGCACACTATTGGGCGTGATTTTGAGATTTCGAGTGGACAGTGTTGCGGTCACTGCTGACGTGAAGAGAATGTTTCATCAAGTATACGTAATAGCTGAGCATAGAAGCGCACTGTGCTACCTCTGGTGGCCGGATGGCGACGTGAAGAAAGCGGCAAAAACCTACCAGATGCTTGTCCACATATTCGGCGCGAAATTTTCTCCAAGTGTCGCTGGATATGCGTTGCGAAAGACCGCCGAAGACCACAGCCAAGACCATTCAGAAGACATCTTGGACGCAGTTTGTCGAGATTTTTATGTAGACGATCTCCTAAAGTGATTTCCTGATTCAGCAGCAGCGAAACGAGTGAGCAAGGAACTGCAGGATGTCCTAGCGAAAGGAGGATTTCAACTTACGAAATGGTGTTCGAATTCGCGCGAAGTCCTAGAACAGTTTCCAGTGGAAGGCAGAGCACCAAATGTGAAGGATTTAGACTTGCAAGCAGAAGAATTGCCTATGGATCGTGCCCTGGGCGTCCGTTGGGATGTCGAAAGAGATACGATTGTATTGATAGTAGAAGACAAGAAAGAGCAGAAAACTCGTAAAGGCGTGTTGTCGTCGATAGCGACGGTCTACGACCCAATTGGATTCGCTGGCCCACTTATATTACCGGCTCGAAAGATCAATCAAGAGCTGTGTAGATTAAAGTTAGATTGGAGCAGCGAGCTGCCTACTGAATTGTCAAATCGATGGGAAAAATGGAAAAGCGATTTAGCCAACCTACGCCGTTATGAAATACCGAGATGCCTCAAACCAAAGTCATTTAGCCAGATCAAGGAGGTAGAACTGCATCACTTCGCAGATGCGTCACAAGAGCACGGCTACGGTACCGTGTCGTATTTACGCTTCGTGAGCGACAATGGAGAATTCCACGTGAGTTTCGTGATGGGGAAATCCCGGATAAAGCCCCTCAACAAAGCGGTTATTGTCCCCAAGCTGGAATTGACAGCAGCGACGTTGGCTACGCGCGTAAATAAGACCATCGCGAAAGAACTGCGAGGAAGACTCGAAATAGACAGAACCATGTATTGGACAGATTCTATGATTGTCTTAAAGTACATCGCGAACGAAACAAGAATATTCGTAACATTTGTGGCGAATCGCGTTGCTGCAATCAGACAAGAGTCAACCCCGAGTCAGTGGCGCCACGTTAGGTCGGAACTAAACCCGGCAGACTACGCGTCGCGTGGAATCCAAGCCTTTGAGACAGAGAAATTGGAACGTTAGAAGCGAGGACCCGAATTTCTTTAGAAGCCGACCGAGGATTGGCCTATCCAACCAGCAGATCTAGCCGAAAGCCTGGAAGAGAATGAAGAAGGCGTAAAGAAAGAAAAAATTGTAGTCGGTGGAACCAATGTGAAAGACGATTTTGGAGCTTGCTATTTCAACGATTCTCCTCGTGGGAAAGATTACGAAGAGTCGTTGCATGGTTGATCAGAGTGCTTCGCAGACGGAAATTAGAGAAGACCCCAAATGCAAAGAAAGATTCGCAGGGCGTCGCGAAAGAGATCCAGCCACTTTCCGTGTCCGAAATAAATGAAGCTGAGAAGAAAATAATTAGACGAGTCCAGGAAGAGTCATTTCCCGAAAATGTCGAGGAAACGAAGAAAGGCAGTTTGTCACGACTTAAACCTTTCCGAGATGATGGGATTTTACGCTTAGGAGGAAGATTAAGCCAGTCAAGCCTGAATTATGATTCGAAACATCCATTCATCCTGCCGAAAGATAACGTGATATCCGAATTGATCATACTACACTACCACTGCCTTAACGGTCACACCGGAAGCCACCAGACGTTAGCGAAGACAAGAGAACGATTTTGGATAACGAATGGAGTATCTTATGTCAAGCGAGTCCTTAAGAAGTGTCAAATCTGCAGGCGAGAGAACGCGAGACCAGGAGAACAAATAATGGCACCGTTACCGGAAGTGAGAGTGTCGTCCGACGAGAATGGCGTAGCATATCCATTCGCGGCCGTTGGCGTAGACTACTTTGGGCCATTGTATGTGAAGTTGGGACCAAAGACAAGATCGAAGAATTCATCATTGGCAAAGCGTTTCGGATGTCTCTTTACATGTCTAAGATACCGAGCGGTACATATCGAAGTAGCGCAGGACTTATCGACAGACAGTTTTATAAACGCAATTCTACGTTTTGTCAGTAGAAGAGGACCACCTCGAGTGATTTACAGCGACAACGGTACTAATTTCAAGGGAGCGGAAGCAGATGTTGTCGAAGCCTTGAAGCTGTGGAATCGAGAGAAAATTCAAGGATCGCTCTCGCGTAGAGGAATCGAATGGGTATTTAACCCTCCGGCTGCCAGCCATCAAGGCGGCGTCTGGGAACGCCTCATACGATCGACTAAGAGAATCCTACGTTCGTTAGTAGGGAACCGTGAGTTGAATGACGAAAGTTTGAGAACATTCCTCGTAGAGGTGGAAAAGATCATGAACGACCGACCAATAACCCCAGTTTCGAGCGATCCTCAAGACCTAGAAGCGCTCACACCGAATGATATACTGCTGATGCGCAGAAACCCATCTATACCGACGGGAGAATACGCAAAGTTGGAGAAGTACGAGGCTAGATGGAAACACGTTCAGCTGCTAGCGAACATATTCTGGGAAAGATGGATTACGGAGTATTTGCCAACCTTGCAGGAAACACAAAAGTGGTTGAAGAAATTCCCCAACTTTGGTATCGGAGATTTAGTGCTTATCGTAGACGAAGATGTTCGACGAGGTCAATGGCCAAAGGGACTTATAGAAGAGATTTATCCAGACAAGCAAGGAGTTGTTCGTAGAGTAACGGTAAGAACGGCAAACGGAGTGTATCAAAGAGACGTGCGAAAGGTTTGTTTATTAGAAGGAAACTTGTTGGAACAAGAGATGGCGAAACAACCTTAACTCCGAAGAACCGTCTTACTTCTTAGGACACATTTACGATATTTAAGACGTTGAGTTATTGTTATAGAAAGACTCCCTTGTCGCCTTTCGGGGGGGAGTATGTACCATTGTATTACATTACATCAAGTAGCGCGCTATGATCGCAGGCGCAAAAAGATGGCGATTTGGCGCCAACGAAACGTTTTTTTTGTTTTTGACTGTATTATTGTATAGTAACAAGTAAAATATGGAGAAAGTCACAATAACTTGTAAGTAACACGTATAAGGTGCCTTATTTAGTTACTGCGGCATGTTGTAATATTGTTCATATTTGTTGTAGCGAATCTCATGAATATTCATGTGAATAAAGTTTGTGACGCGTTTAAAGAAATTGAAGTTTACACTGGGTAATGCGAATAATCAATACAAATGAGAATATGAATAGGCTCGAAATTCTAAATCGATTTGACGGGCGACGGGCGAATGCAAATATATGCTAAAACAGCAGCCTCAAAGCCTAAGTAAAATATATAAGCTAACAATAACATAGTTAAATCATCGGACCATTGTTTATATGAACTTATATCGGAGTATAGCTTACATAAACATCAACATTGGATAATTTACCTTATAACAGTACACTTCTCAATTCGTCGAACACATGCGAGTATATTTAATACAAAAACATCAATCTCTCGACGACACGTTATTTAATAGTGTCATGAATATAGCGCCCGCATTAAAACTGCTCTATACCGGTTTTTCTTTTGAATTCCCCTACAAAGAACTATACATTCGAATGCAAAACACGGGCTCTGATCGGTCATGATCGGTGATATTACTCACGGTCAAATATAAATGCATAATATAAATACATAAGAAATGCCTGCGGAGGAGGCTAGTCTGACTCTGATCGTTTGATCGGTCGTGATCGGTCAGGAATTAAACAGCCAATAAGAAATGAAGATCAGACCAACCTCCAAAACGATCACAATTTGTGTCTCCATGGAAACTATCGATCTGACCAATCAGATTGATGAAAAACGCCCATAACCAACCTCTAAAACGATCAGACCAAACCTCCAAAACGATCACCATTTTTGTCTCCTTCGAAACCACCGAATGGGCCAATCAGATTGACCAGAAACGCCCCTAACCAACCTCCAGAACGATCACGATTGTGCAGTTTGAAATTTGAATTCAGAGCGGGGAAATCAAGAGAGATCAGTGTTAATTTAATTCATTCGCCCAGAAAATTAATTATGCCGCTGCAAATTTACAACTGGACTGCGTTCGGAAAAATAAATATTATTTCACTTTCATTGAATCAAATTAGTGCGGAATTTTTACATTAGTCGCGTGATTGGTGTGACTACCCCTAGATCCGCCCCTGCTACAAAGTTTGCTCTCAAAATATAAATTGTCAATATTACAGCATTATACCTATTTGTATTACGGCAAGATGAACAATATGTACTAAACCTCTATCGATCTACAAAAAAGTGGTCTACTACTTAAATAATTTATTGAAATGCAGACTATCTGTTATCGGACACTTAACCCCCCGGGGTTAAACGGTTAATTGATAGACACCAAATTGGTCAAATCGGAAAAAAAAGAAGCTCTGTTTAGCGATATTAATTTATACTGTAGACCTCCCGGCCAGTAAATATAACACTTTATTGTATAGAATAATTGTATACAACCGTCTCAGTATCATTATATGTTTAATTTTATTTGCAATCCTCCTTTGTTATCTTTGTATATTATTTTCTAGATCGCTGTCAAATACCATACCTATATTTCTCAACATCAGTTGGAACACGGATGTATAATATAGAAAACACTTCAAGTATCCCAACCATCGTCGACGATAGAGTAAACGCGTTGACGCCATAAACAAACGGTTGTACGTCTATGTTCAGTCTGAGGGATTGACAAGTTTCTATTTGGATGGTTCAAATTCTACTACAACGTTAGTCACGGGTGTGGAGGTTTTCACCGTGGATGGCAGGAATAATTTGGTATATTACTACTATACAATTACAAAGAAAATAAAAACAATCAACATGACAACTGGAGAAGAAGGTGACGTTGATGACGCTTTATCATCTTTGACCAGCATCAAGGATCTTGAAATGGACACCACTAATGGGTAATAATTTATCATGTATCACCAACAGATACAGCTACTTCTCAAATTGTTCTTTTTTTTCTATTGTGTTACATGATTTCTTGCATATAGAGGTCTAATATTCACGAATGTAATCCCAGCAATATATTAAGTCTATTTCTATTATACGTCTTCTATAATCTCACCTGAATACCTTTGATATAGTAGGCCTAATACCTTAATTCCTTTCATACACCTTACTCTTTTCATTCATTTTTTCTTTTCCTTTTTGCTTGTATAATTACTAGTATATGCAAAATATGTGGTTAGATGACTAATTTATTTTAATTTTTCACAGCTACCTCTACATTGCAAGAGCAAATGATCCTCCAATCGTGCGTTTTAATCGAGCAGATAAATCAATATTGGAGTTCAATTTTGATGGCTCAGCCCAGTCAATTTCTGTGGATGAGTACAATAACGTCATTTACTGGGCAAACTATGATGGAATCAATCACAATGTTATGAAAACTATGCTCAATAAGCAAACGGTTGCTTTGAATATTTCATATCCTGACGTTATTGACTTGACTTCGGACATGCTTCATTTGTATGTCTTGGACACCAGCAACAAGCGCATTGACAAATATTTGAAAACATCGCTTGAAAAGCAAGGAAATATGACTTATGAATATACAATTTATGATTTAGTGGTTGCATATGGTAAGTTTATCATAAAATAATTTCAGTTTCATTTATCATAAAATAATTTGCTTTGTTTTACTACCCAAAACAAAGAGAAATATTAACGGCCTAATTTTAGAAAAAACCTGTGGGCATAATGTTTGCATCAAGGACCTATTTTTTAGTGTTTGAATATTTAGATATGATTTTTCATGCTTTTTTTTGTTGACTATAAAAGTATTTCTCAAACAAATCTTTAGTTATCATCAACCCTGAGTACCCGAAATCCAGTAATTCGTTTCCCAAATTATTTCAACAACAAGGTTTCACTTTTTGATTACTTAAACTTAATCGTTCTTGTTATCTGTGCTCAGTAACTCGTCACGGACGTTGCAACTTCTTGTTTGTTTCCCTACAAACGGCGTTTATATATAAGTATGGCATACAGTCCTTCAGATAAATTAATCATACTTACGATTTTATTACCTTTGCTTCTTTAAATACAGACTCAGACGAGTGTTGCCTTGATGCAGCTGCTGCCTGTCCCGCTAAATTTTCTTGCATTAACACTCTTGGGAACTTTGACTGTGTTTGCAGTGAAGGATATGTTAAAAATGTCAGTGATTGCGAAGGTAGTTAGCCTATTCTCATTAAATGGTAAATTTGTAGAAAACTTTGACAAAAGTTTTTCACGCGAAAGTAAAGTACAGAAAACCTGAGAAGCGTAAATCAATTTTGTGATTATTTTCAGCATTATTTGCCAGTAGGTTTACCTAAATATTTCTTATTTTATTAGTGAAATATTTTTTTTCTCTTTTCTCCACAGCTACCCCATGCTTAAGTAACCCATGCTTAAATGGAGGAATTTGTACAGACGTTGTTGACTCATTTGAATGTGAATGTCCTTCTGAATATCGTGGTAATAGATGCAAAATCGAAGGTAAAAGAAATTTAAGCTCTTTCTTGTTACTCGCTAATCACACTTATCTTATTGTTTTCACCACGGTGCGGAAGAAAACATAAGCCAAACGTGTAACTCTCATCTAATAACGGCACGAATCAAGTTTTGGCTTCCTTTAAAAAGATTTGTTATACCCTTGCTTGAACATGTGGGCCATTGCGATCTTTATATGGCACTCTTTTTGAAACGTACAGTTGTTACAGCAACGGTTACTAGGTACAAGTTCTGTATAGCTTTTTAATCTAGCTTGCTTTGTTTCTTATATGGTATATAAAACCCTAATCTTCAACTCAATCATTTAGATACCTACATTCATTTGCATTCAATAATATAAAAAAACTGTAGAGAGTCACCTTTATCACCTATAATATAATTTTACTTTTATCAGTAATGCTTCATTTATATCCAATTATTTATTCAGATATCAACGAATGTAATCGTTCTTACTGCCATCCGAATGCCGAGTGTGTGAACAATATGGGATCATTTACCTGTAGTTGTTGGTCTGGATACAAAGAAGACGGGTTGAACTGCACAGGTATTTTTTAATTTAGATGACAAAACAACTTGGCTGATTTAAGTTAAAATCTTTGAGTTTAATCGATTAAAATTATTAGCAGCGCAAGTCTTGTAATGTATAAATCTTGACTTGATCACGGATGTAAACCCTTGTTTTTTCTTTGATAAATACCTTTGCCGCATTGTCTGATAAATGGCCTTTGTTGCCAGACAATTGCTATTCCAAATTATTGTCCTTTTTCTCAAATTGCTGTCGTAATTTTTTTTCAGAAACCTGCGAAGATGAAATACTATTCTATTCCACGGGCTCAGAGATCATCTCACATTACCCAGCCTGTAACATCTCAGCCTCTGATAGTAAATTAAGTTATGACAAACAGAACAGAAGAATACTGTATTATGTTGACTCTGGAAATATCTTATACAGTGCCGATCTGAGCTGCTCGGACTCGAAAGTTCTAACTGATAAAGTTCGCGTTCTAAACTATGCATACGATGGTGTGAACGGTATTCTGTACTACGTCCATCCAAATATCTTTTTAATCTTCTCACTTAATATCAGCAGCGGAGATAATAAGCCTGTTCAAGAGTTGAGTTCCTTCACTGGAGTCAAGGAGATGGAAATGGACATAAAACATGGGTAAGTGTGTATGCAACTTTTAGGTTTCGCATCGTATGGAAAAAGAGTATTACTAATCAATTGGGTGCACTTCCTTCGTCTTAATAAATTATGTAAACAATAATCGTCGAAGGTTTTCAGGAGAGAAGAAGGTGGCCTGGGGGCTGGTTCTTTTTCATTTTCATTCCAAGTCATTTTGAGACGTTTATGTCAATGAATATTTCTATTTTTCTAGGTACCTGATAATTGCGAGATCATCGAAGCCTCCTATCGCTTTCTTTGATACCCAATCATCAACAACAAAAGAAATAGACTACGATGGTTCGGCCCAAGCGTTGTCCGTTGATCAAGATAACAAAGCTGTGTATTGGGACAATTTTGATCAAGATAAAGAAACGCACAATCTGACGAGAACATTCTACACTGAGCAAACACAGAATCTTAACATCAGCTATAACGGAGAAATTGAATTAGCACAAGACTGTAGGTACCTCTACGTGTTGTATAAAGAAGGTAAAATTATCGACAAGTACGACAAACGAACGTGGATGAAGTTAAATAGTACTCAAACTAATGATGGCCCACAGAAAGTGATTGTAGCGTTTGGTAAGTATATCCTCTATCCTCTATTACTATCACAGAAATAAAGTTTATTTGATGCCCAGTGAAACGTAAAAATGGCGGTGATTCTTCGTAAAAACAACGTGTGCAGGTATATTATTATTGGAAAAGTATTATTATTGAAAGGACAGACGAAATGAAAAATCTTTGGACTTTATAATTCTGTTTAAGTTAAACGAAGATCGATACCTGCTGAGTGTTTGCAGAACCTCGTCCTTTTTAAAATGACGTCTTAACTAACGTGAATTTTATAGCTACTATTCTTACTATCTACTTCTCTACTTTCTAGACTACGACGAATGTTGTGCAGAAACGTTCTGCCCGAGGGAAAACGCGATATGTACGAACAAGCCAAGTAGTTTTGAATGCATGTGCGAAAAAGGATATCTTCATAATGGCAGTTATTGTCATGGTGAGTAACAAAAACACGACATATTATGTTCTTTATAAAGACATTTGAGTACATTTATGAAAATTTCCCCAAACATGCAGGAGGATCTCGTGATACTTGCCATTTTGTTGATGTGTGCAATAAGCAAAAAATTCAGATTTAATACAGTCATACATGCATGCAGGAAAAGTTTACTCATGGTTTAATCTGTTGTCGTCGCAATAACAGCCACACGTTGATCATAAAAGACAGAGTTCACGAGATTTTCCATTGAGATCGAAAAAAATGCTATCTGTTTACATTTGTCCATAAACCACTTCCCGGTTTTCTGTAAGTGCATAATAGAGAGGTTAAGATACCCCGGTTCCGATATACGGGCACGGGTAGCCTTATTTTGGTCACTGAATTTCCATCATCGTTTCTCAATTTTTTCGAAGATCACCTCGACAATTCTTTTCTAGTAGGCTTTAGCCTCTTGAGGCGAGCATGAATTGTATCATGAAACATGCAAACAACAAGAAATTCCAATGAACAAAATATGGCTACCCGTACCCGTATACCGAAACCGGGTATCTCAACCTTAGAACCTCTCTAATGTAATCAACAAACGATAACGTGTACAAGTTTGCAATTTTGACAGGGGCTCCTTCAAAATGACAACCATGAGAGAGTGAAGAATTTGTGTTGAGAGAATACAATTATTATGCACTATTTTCAAAAGTTCTTTGTTTCTCTTTTTTTGTCATTGCCATCCCCCTATGAAGACGGTCATATGCAAATAAGTTGTGAAAGCCCAGAATTTTGGTTGTTAGACATAAAACTATATGGACATCAAGCTGTTGTTCATGTATTTAGATATTGACGAATGTGAAATGGATAACAACTGCAGTGTCAACGCAACTTGCACCAACACTGATGGATATTATAATTGCACTTGTATGGAAGGAACTGAAGAAGAACCACTTAACAGCGTATGCACAGGTAATTAACCTGGAAACTGAAAATTTCTGGCGTAATTTTCGCTACGTTCCGCTTTGCATGTGAGGCTATATTACTCTAGTTAATCATCAAGGATGTTTCACTAGAAAAAAGTTATTCTTTACCATTTTCTTAGATAATCATACCATTTCCATACTTAACTTTTTGAATCAGTTTTCGTGATATGTTAGCAGTAAATCCCCAGAGATATAAATAATTAATGTGTCACTGTACCTACCCCACTTATGTACGCGATATAAATGGCATTTTCTTTATCAATTTGCTGTATTTAAAATTTATTTCCATTTTTCCCTTATTTTTTTCTTTACAATTAAGATATTAACGAGTGTGAGTCGGGTGTTAGTTTATGCCATGCCAATGCTACATGCAGCAACTCTTACGGATCATATAGCTGTGAATGTATCGAAGGTTACACTGGTGATGGAGTGAATTGTACAGGTAAAATACCTCTACTATTGCTTCTCTTGCCGGGGCCAGTTGTATTAAAGAATAATTAACTTTTAATTGTAGTTAAGGACGGAATTGGTCAATCAGAGTTGTGTATTTCTGAGTTAACTGGGACTTAACTATGGAAAATGTAACGTAAAGAGTTTTATACAACTAGCCCCAGGAGTTAAAACCTATTATCATAATATTATTTTGTAATATCAGTTTGTGGTGGAAAGCTACATGTCACAGGTCTTTAAATAGCACTGGAGGAATCAAACTGACCAGAGGCATCGTAAAATGTCAGCCCCAGCTCTCAATCTTGTCCAACGTAATCATACTCCAGCCACCTTATCAACACCACCTTATTAACGCGATTTCCCTACAAAGCTGACTTTTTTTGTAAAATTGTCGTAATTAATAATTCAAAATTAAACAGCCCAATTCAAAATGAAACAGCTTGTCCATATCCCAACCAAAGGTAACAATATATTGGACCTTATAATCACCAACATGTAACAAGTCTATGATCAAAACTCCGTTTACATCATGAACCCCCCCCCCTCCCCCCTTTGGCCTTTCGGGTCATTATTTTTTGTCATTTTTTGGCCCATTGTACGACCCACTAACGCCAACTCCAGAAGGAAAGTCCTAATAAAACGGGACACTCGCCAAAGTAGAAAACACGGCTGCCTGAAAACCTGTGAAGCAAAATCACCATTTTCACTTTGAGTTAATAACCATTGGCACCGATACAATTATGCTCTAAAAGCAAGTAAAACTTCACGTAAACGATCCTCCATAGGTTTCTTCTGATTTTAAAAAACTAATCAAAACTCGTCAGCATGCCTTTTCAAATGGTGAGTCTGGAACATATCATTATTACCGAAACCTTGTGCCTTTCTTGAACCGATGCAAACTTACCAAAGTGTTGACCCTCCTTCTCTCTTTGATCAAGTTTGGATCTACTGTTTCTCGATTGCGGCTGTTTCATCTGTCCAGTGGAATCTACCCCATAAAGCACCTGTCTTGATGAGATTCCAACCTGGATTTTAAAGGAGTATGCCATAATACTTTCCAATCCAATTTGCCATGTTATAAACTGTTCTTTTCCTGATCAATATCTTCCCTCATCTTGGAAATTATCTAATGTCATCTCATGCAGTGCCAAAACAATGCCCGGTCGTCGGTCGAGGATGTGAACAATCACCTTAGACCCATTTCCCTAACGCGAACTGTCTCCAAAGATGCCGAGGGGTTTGTAATAGAATTCGAATTGTATATCGTTGAGGTTGACGTTGGGATTCAAGGAAATATATGTATTATATAAACTTGAGAGAAAGGGATAGACTTCAAAAAAAGTTTTATAAATCTAGAAATCCAGTAGACTGGGAAAATTACCGTCAAACGAGAAATAAGGTTGTCAGTATGAGAAGGAAAGCCGTACAATTGCATTTTAAAAAACTTTGCGTTTCTTTACAAGTATTACACGCTCAGACACTAGTATGGTAAGACCCACACCAGACATTAGTCTTTGTCTGTTAAGAAAACGAAGCATAGAGAAGTAAAAGATATCTTGCTTAGTATCAAAGAAAACAAGGCAACTGGATGCGAACTTATCCTCCCACGGACACTAAAACAATCCGCTGATGTTCTCTGTTATCCTCCGAGTACTCTGATTAATTATGTTTTGGACAACGAAAAAATTCCGCAACAATGGAAACAGGGTGAAATTGCTCCTGTCTACGAGAAAGAAAGTGCGTTAGATAAAATCAGCTATAGACCACTGTCGATTTTGCCTTCTCTTTCAAAATTGTTCGAAACGATAATGAGCACCAGGATGAGTCCCCACTTTGAGAATATCTATCACAAACATGTGTTTGCTTACAGGAAGCACCATGGTTGCGATACCGCTCTCTTAAGCTTGACTGAGGAGTGAAGGAAAGAACTAGACAATCGCAAAGTTATTGGACTCTTATCAATGGACCTGTCAAAGGCCTTCGACACATTACCACATGATCTAATTGTCTCAAAGCTACGACAATACGGGGCTGATCAAAAAACATCTGCACTTATTGAAGATTATCTTTTCAATAGAAAGCAAAGAGTCAAGTAATATAGGAACAGTTATTCAACCTGGTAAAATATTTCTGCTGCCATCCCTCAGGGATCCATATTGGGACCTTTGCTCTTTAATATGTTTATGAACGATCTGGCATATGTCACAGATCAAAGCAAACTGTCGGCGTATGCGGACGACACGCAAATTTTTTACGCAGATCCAGATCCAGTTAAAGTTCAAGAGACCATAAACACTGACTTGACCAACGTCGACAAATGGTATGCAGAAAATGGAATGAAAAGAAATTATACAAAATATCAAGCCATCGCAATGGGAAAAACAGAGATTAAACCTGAATTTTCTTGCGAAAACACAGTTATCAAAAACAACGAGGTTTTGGAGCTACTTGGGGTAACTGTTGACGAAAAACTGAAATTTGCCATGCATGTGAGCAAAGTTTGTCGTAAAGTATCTCAACAAGTCGCCGTATTAAAACGTATGAGGAACATGCTTCCATTTGAAACGAGATTAAGTATTTACACCTCCTTCATTGCTCCCCATTTCAATTATTGTTCCGAAAGCTGGCATTTCTGCAATAAGTCATCTGCCGACAAGTTGGAAAAAGTCAATGAACGCGCAATTCGCTTTGTCTTTAAAGACAAATCTACTCCATATGAAGAACTGCTTAATAAAATAGGAAATGCACGTCTTTTGAGACACCAGAGAGTAAAGAAAATAATATCTAATGTATATAAATTAATAAATGACTCTAACTCACTGGAAAGTCTAAAAGATCAGCTGCTAGATCTCAGACAAAGTTCATACTTGCTTAGAGGTGAAGATATCTTAAAACTGCCCAAAGTAAATTCTACCACGTACGGGCTGAAGTCTTGGCGGTATCAAGCCTCCAAATTATGGAACGCTCTCCCTGATGCAGCTAGATCGGCAGAGAACTACAACGCTTTAAAACTGTATAAACGCCATTGACATTGAACATATTTAAATACACTGTAGGTATAGGATATCTTCAATATATAATTATTGTAAATAGTTTAGTTATTTTATTCTTATTTTATTAGAATCTTCGTGGCATTACCTATAAATTATTGTGTATTTACTACACATGGACGCCAATTGTTATTTGCTATTGTAGGGTTGCATTGACGTATCACGTATACCTTCTAAAAATTCCTTCCATAAAAATTCCTTGCAACTTTGTAGATGTTAATTGTTTCAGACAGCCTAACTTACTTTACTTACTTATTATATCTAATTGATTCCTTAACTTGATTACACCTTGATTTACATCAATGATTAACATATATGATTGACGATAGTATGAACAGGATGTCGGTTCCAATTACAAGTAACAAAACGCATGCACAGTAGATTGTCTTTAGTCGTTAGTCAGAGAGAGAGATATAGCGAGGACCTATATCAGCAATTGTTTGAATTCAGAGATAGCTGTAGAGATCCACTCTTCAGGTAACGAGCGATTACATATAGTCTTAGTCGATTGACAATTTAATCAAAATGAATCTTTCCTAATCAAACTTAATCATTATCTTACTATAGAATGTATTTTATATAATATATTACGAAAAATCTCTACGGCGTAGTCGTGATCTGTCTTTGGAAACAAGTTCTGAAGAAGTGTATTCTGCCGCAATTTGGTTATAAGACAAGATCATGGCGACAGAAGAGGTCCAGAGTGGACAGTTGTATGAAGGCGAAAAGGCAAGCAACGGAACTGGCGAGTCTGACGCGCAGTTGGCGAGTAATCTAAAGAAAAAACGAGCGCTACAGCGAGGTAAGGTTACTCGATCTATAAAGAGAGTAAGAAAGTTTATCGATGAAGGCGCAGAGGCGCGCAAGAAAATAGAGAAAGAACTAACACAAATCCGAAAGGACTTTGAGTTGGCGCGTGAATATCACGCTGAGCTTTATATTTATGCTGAAGAAAGTCAAACGTCCAATATGGACGATTGGGAAGACGAACTGACAAATGATCTATATGACATAGAAGGGGCTGTCGAAGAGTATATGCAATCGGCAGTCGATCTTTCTAGCGTCAAAGCAAAGTCCTTAAACAACGAACAGATTCTCCATCCATCGAATAAGGACAATGTAAGTTATGTAACAGTAGGAGCCAGCATGCCTGAGGAAACGCAACCTAGTACTTCCGCCGCGGGAGCAACCCCTGTTGAGAGTGAGGCTGAAAATAATGCGAACACTGTTGCATCTGACGTGATCAATCCCACTACGCATGATACGGGCAACCGTACTTCACATGATTTCAATCTGAATTCAGAAAGAGATATTTCAATACGTTCGGAAGAGCGATTGAATTCAAGTCAACCTGTCAACAGTTCCAATTATCTTCCGTCGTCACCTCGGGCATTTGATAGTTGGATAAATGACCTAACTGAGTTTGAAGAGACTGTTTTACCGAATACGCTATCAGAAATGTCTGTCGCGCAAGCCCTCTATAAGTTAGAAGCAAGCAAGGACATCCCGAGCATTGAGTTAATCGAATACAACGGCGACCCGCTTACATATGTTGAATTCATTGAGCGCTTCAAATTACACATCCATGACAAGTCTCATCTCACCGATAATGTACGAATGGTACAATTGAAAATGCATCTAGCAGGCCGCGCCCGTCGCGCAGTAAGCGGTCTCGGCTCTCACGGGAAAATGTACGCAACGGCATTAAAAACTTTGAAAGAACAATTTGGCACACCAAGCGCTATAGCACGAGCACACATCAGCAAGCTACTGGAAAGACGTAAAATTCAGAGCAGTGATAGACAGGCCCTACAAGAGTTGTCGTTTGATGTCATGAATTGTGTCGCAACATTAAAGCAAATCAATCGCCTCGCAGACGCAAACTCCATCTATAATCTGCGCGACGTCGTCAAGCGGCTGCCTGACAACCTTATAGATAAATGGAAAGCAGCAGCGACGGATATTAGGGAAAGGGGAGAAGCGCCTTCTCTTGAGCATATCGGACGATTTCTGCGAAAGCGCGTGAAGGCTGAATTCGACCCTGACTTTGGGGATATCCAGAAATCCGAAGCCCGCTTCCCTCAGCGTGACAGGCGTGGGATCGCTTCCGGACAAAGAGAAAAGAAAAAAATCCAATGCTACGTTTGCTCAGAAGACCACCGAGTGGTAGAATGCCCTGTGTTTTCGAGCTGCTCCACCGATGAGAGAATCCAACACGTCAAGAAGCAGCGACTCTGTTTCTCCTGCCTCAACCGCGGTCACGTGACAAAGGATTGTAGATCCAAAGCAAAGTGTGATGTAGACGACTGCACTCATTTCCACCACCGCTTGCTACACGCCAGTAAAGAAACGAATCCTATATTAGGTTCGGTGACTTCTGCCCTCGATAGAGATGGAATTATGCCAGTCGTCAGAGTCTGTTTCAAGTCCTCCAACGGCAACGTACGCGAAGGAAACGTGTTGATAGACAGCGGCGCGGGTATCACAGTCATCCGAAAGTCATTCGCCAAAGCCCTGGGTCTCCAAGGGAAGAAAGAGAAGATAAATATCGCAGTCGTTGGAGGAGAGAGAATAACTCAAGACGACAGTCGCAGAGTAAAGTTTTGGATTTCTCCATTGAACGGAAACGAGTCGTTTCCAATAGAGGCTCACGAGATTGGCTACACCATAATCAACGTCCCCCCTCTTGATCGCGCTTGGTTGAGCTCCTTTGATCACCTAAAAGATGTTGACTTTTCACATCACGCTGGTCCGATCGATTTGATTCTTGGTGTACAATACAGCCACCTTCACGCCGAGAATGAAGTACGTCAAGGTTTACCGTTCCAACCAATAGCCAAAAAGACAAAGCTTGGATGGCATGTTATTGGTCCTGACAACGCGAAGGGTTCACCCGACAACTACCTCAGCTTCGCAAGAAAAATCAACCTGGAAACATTCTATGACTTTGAAACCGTTGGAGTTAGAGCTCCAGACTGTAAATGTCCGGTAGACGTGATGACCAACGACGGGAAAAAGGCCATAGAACTGTTCAAGTCCTCGTGTAAGAAGTTAGACGGACGATACGTGATCGGACTACCTTGGAAGAATGATCCTGCAGGACTACCAAATAATTATCCCTTGGCACGGCAAAGACTCGAGTCTTTAGAGAGAAGCTTACAAAGAAATCCAACGAAAGCAAAGATGTACAATGAAGCAATTAAGGAATACGAGAAGAACGGATGGGCCAGAAAGTTAGAAGACCAAGAAGTCAGAAAACCCCATGCACACTATTTACCTCACCACGGCGTCTACCGGCCAGAAAAGAAAAGCACGCCCCTCAGAATCGTGTTTGACCCCGCATCCCCCTACAAGAATATCTCGCTCAATTCGTTTCTGTACAAAGGACCCTGTCTGATTGGCGATCTTCTGGGAGTTCTGCTACGCTTTCGAGAAGAAAAGGTGGCGTTTGTCGGGGACATATCGAAGATGTTCTTACAAATACTTCTGCCTGAAAGTGACTGCCAAATGCATCGTTTCTTATGGAGAAACATGGACACGACAAAGGAGCCGACGACCTACGCCCTACTCCGCGTTACCTTCGGGGACAAGCCATCTCCAGACATGGCGAGCTACGTGATGCTCAAGATCGCGGAGGAAAACAAGGAACGCACACCGGAGGCTTCCAAAATCATTGAGAGGGACCGGTATGTCGACGACTTGATCCATTCATGCCCGACTGTGCAAGATGGAGAGAAGAGAATCAAGGACGTAGAGAAGATACTTGGAGAAGGTGGATTCAATATAAAGGAATGGCATTGCTCCTCACCTGAACTCCAACAAACCGTGAATGCGAAAAGAATGAAAAAACGCAAGATCAAATCTCACCTTCATCAAGCGAAGTAAACCTCGACAAGCAAAGCGGCATCAAAGCTCTGGGAGTTTCGTGGAATCCGATGTCTGATACGATTCATTTTCAAGTCCAATTAAAGAGAACAACCCCTTATACGAAAAGATCAGTCCTGTCAAACATCTCTCGAATCTTCGATCCCCTCGGATTAGCAACACCAGTAACGATAAAAGCGAGAATGGCGCTGCAGGAGGTATGGAAAATGAAGAAATTTGATTGGGATGACCCACTTCCAAAAGAGCTACAGCATAATTGGGACAAGATATTCGATGAGTTAGAAAACCTATCCACTGTTTGTTTCCCGCGTTGTCTAAAGCCGAATAATGCATCCGGTTCACCACAGCTTCACGTATTCTCCGACGCCAGTATCAATGCCTATGGAGCAGCAGCCTATCTTGTTTGGTCACGACCTGACGGTGTCGAAGCCCGCCTTGTGGCAGCCAAAGCGAGAGTCGCGCCAATTCGACAAACAACTATACCGAGATTGGAGCTTATGGCGGCCTTAATAGCCTCAAGACTAGCTAAAACGATCCAAGGTGAATTCAAGATAAAACCATCAAGCGTAACGTTCTGGACGGATTCCATGATTGTGCTCGCATGGATCCAAGCAGAATCGACCATCCTAAAGCCATTCGTCGGAGTTCGAGTGACAGAAATTCAGACCTCATGGGAACCCTGCTGCTGGAGATTCGTTCCAACAGGTTTGAACCCTGCAGATGACCTAAGTAGAGGCATTCCAGTGGAAAAGTTGAAAGAGCGTTGGATGAAAGGCCCCACATTTTTAAGAGATCCAGTCGAGCAATGGCCCTCCCACCCAAACAAGCAAGTTGAACTACCAGATGTAAAGAGTTCAGCACACATCCTTGCCCTGCAACGAGAGGTTACACACCCCATAGTGGACCCATCAAGATTCTCGAACTGGAGGAAACTGTGCAGAATCACAGCCTATTGTCTCCGTTTTATTAAGAACAGTAAGACCCCAGCAGAGCGACAAGATGGCCCCCTCGAGCCGATGGAAATCGAATCAGCCGAAACACATTGGGTAAAGTCAGCTCAGACGGAGCTTGGCGACTGGGAACATCAGTACAAAGATTTGGCCCCGTTCAAAGAAGACGGCGTAGTCCGCGTGGGAGGAAGATTGGCTCGCTCTCCCTTGCAATTTGACGAAAATCACCCAGTGTTGCTACCAGTAAGCCACGTTATATCGAAGCTAGTCGTCAAAGACGCTCATAACCGCGTCCTACATGCCGGTCGCGAACGTACGTTGTGTGAATGTCGAAGAAAGTTCTGGATTCCTCGTGGCAGAAATTTGGTCAGGAAGATAGTCAAAGATTGTGTCACTTGTCGCAGACTTAGACAGTACCCGCATACCACGCTGATGGCTGACCTCCCTCCCGACAGATTGAAGTTGTTTGCACCACCATTTACAGTCACGGGCGTCGACCTGTTTGGTCCCTTCTATTTGAAGTATGGGAGAAACAAGAAGATAAAAGCCTGGGGAGCCGTCTTTACATGCGCCACTGTTCGTGCAATACACTTGGAGATCGTCCAAGACTTATCAACAGAAGCATTCCTACACGCCCTTCGACGTTTCGCCGCTCATCATGGTTGGCCCAAAACCATAATCTCGGATAACGGAACGTCATTCGTGGGTACAGAACGAGAATTGAAGAAACTTCTAAAAGAAGGAAGGAAAAACCTGGAAGACTTTGCCGTATCACATAAGCTGAAATGGAAGTTCAACACGCCTGCAAGCCCCCATCAAGGAGGATTTTTCGAGAGCATGGTGAAGTTGACGAAATCCGCACTGAAGGCCATCGTTGGTCAACAAACGTTGTCATGGAACGACATGGCGACAGTGTTTGCAGAGGTAGAATGCTTGATTAATTCCCGACCTCTTGGATATCCATCCAATGATGCCAACGACTTGCAGCCGCTGACACCAAACCACCTCATCTTAGGACGTGCCACATCAGAGACACCACAAGGTCCATTCCAAGAAGTAAAGAGCAGCAGAAAAAGGTTCGAATATGTTCAGTCATTAATCCAGCAGTTTTGGCAACGGTTTCAACGGGAGTATCTGCAGAGTTTGATGCGCCGAACAAAGTGGAGGCAAAAGAAGAGACAGCCAAAGGTCAATGACATCGTAATGTTGGTAGACGACAATCTCCCACGCGGGAGGTGGAACATGGCACGTATCGTCGAGGTTATGCCGGGACAAGACGGTGTGGTAAGAAACGTAATCGTGAAGACGAAGACGGGAACTTATAAACGGTCAGTACAGAAATGCTGCATGATATTAGAAGAGGAATCTCTTTAACAGAGGCCCGGAGGGTTGTTTCAGACAGCCTAACTTACTTTACTTACTTATTATATCTAATTGATTCCTTAACTTGATTACACCTTGATTTACATCAATGATTAACATATATGATTGACGATAGTATGAACAGGATGTCGGTTCCAATTACAAGTAACAAAACGCATGCACAGTAGATTGTCTTTAGTCGTTAGTCAGAGAGAGAGATATAGCGAGGACCTATATCAGCAATTGTTTGAATTCAGAGATAGCTGTAGAGATCCACTCTTCAGGTAACGAGCGATTACATATAGTCTTAGTCGATTGACAATTTAATCAAAATGAATCTTTCCTAATCAAACTTAATCATTATCTTACTATAGAATGTATTTTATATAATATATTACGAAAAATCTCTACGGCGTAGTCGTGATCTGTCTTTGGAAACATTAATAAATGCGAATATGTCTCATGTGGTTTTAAAGCAAACTGTACAAACGCTAATGGCTCATATCTTTGTGAATGTCAAACTGGATATGAAGGAAATGGAACAAACTTCACAGGTATAATCTCTTTAGACGATGAAGTATGGGAAAGATTTTATTTTAAAGTTTATTCTCTCGAACATTTGAAATCTCCCACTCACCGAGTTGAACAGAATAAGCGCGAAAGCACAAAAAATTATATATATATATATATATATATATATATATATATATATATATATATACACCCATTTGCAAAAACGTTGGCCGCAGATAGATAGATAGATAGTTACTCGAAGTCTAATTAGAATTGCATATGATTACATTTGCATGGGATTTCAATAATATTACACAACATATGCAATTCTAATTAGATTTCGAGTATCTATCTATATATTATCTATCTGCGGCCAACGTTTTTGCAAACGGGTGTATATATATATATGTATATATATATATATATATATATATATATATATATATATATATATATATATATATATCACACATTATATATAATTTATTATATATCACATATGTAGTGTACTCTATTTGGCCATTTTTGTTGCACTTTCTTGAAAGCACATCGGCCGCTTTGCCAAGTTTATTGTTACAATTCTGGTAAAAGTTAAAATTCGGGCAAATTGTACAATTCAAAAATTCGGGCGATTTTTTTTGGACACCCCCTCCCCCAAACGAAGTTGCGCCCGTGCGCCAATGGTAATATACTGCCAGAGCTCAAATATTATGCTGCTTTTGCAGATATTAATGAATGTTTGAAAGGGCCATGCGGTTTCAACGCAAACTGCAAAAACACTGATGGGTCGTTCGTTTGTGAATGTCAAATCGGATATGAAGGAAATGGAACAAACTGTAAAACTAAAAGTAAGTTTTAAGTACTTCTATTTCTTATACCATGCTCAGGAGCAAAAATATATTATTTGAGTGAATCTAACATGGAGGAATTCCGTTTTAGGCGCGTACGTATCAGGAAGTTTGTTCACATTTTTATCAACCCAATCAAAATGCATAAATAATTTGGTCGCGTCGAATGCAATTAGCCTTTTCCACGATGACGAATATGCCGCCATTTTGGAGGTACTTTTTTCAAGACCGTGAGCGTAAGATCTCGCAACGGCGATTGTGTTTAAATTTAGGCTAAATTTATTCTTCAAATGGTCTGGTGATTCAAAAAATATGCTTTTCATGTTGTTATTTTTTAAACCCATTTGAGAAAATTGAAAGTACCCCAAAAACGTCATCGGGAGAAAGACTAATTCGGACGATATAGATGAGATGACAATGAAGCTTAATGAGGTTTATCATCTCATTATCTATTCTTTCAATTGCATTCGACGCGACCAAAATGCGACTGATAACCTAGGCCTAAATCTAATTAAGGGTGCGCATGTGGTTAAATATTTTCGTGAGAACTTCAACATTATTTTGATGAGATCTTTAAGTTAGAAGATACCTTAAATTAATTCATATTGTTGTGACATTAAATTTTGCTTTTCCAGTATCATCTAATCAACCAGTTTCACCAGGCAGTAACATTAGCACTGGCCTCATCATTGGAATAGTAGTTGCAGCGGTGGTTGTTTTAGTTGCAGGCGTGTTCATTGTGGTTTGTTGTTTCCATCGAAGAAAACCACAGGTGAAAAACACTGAAGACATCCGTAACATTCAAAATGTCGCCTACGAGCTTGACACGGAAGTTGGTAACAATCCAGACTCTCAATTGGAAGAACCGAAATATGCAGAGCTAAACCTTTCCAAAATGGATCCAATTGATGCAAACTATCAAAGTTTGATTGCTAAAGGTCATGGAAAGGAGCTACACGACAATGAAAATGAAGATGGGAAAATTGTTGGATATGCGGCAGACCCTGAAACAGTCGCCAATCCTAATCCGAAATTTGAAGAAGCGGAATATACAGAACTTGACAATTCAAAAAGGGATCGTATTGGTGAGGATTACCAAAGTTTAGTCACTGAAGGTTATGAGCCTCTTCACAAGAGTCCTTATGAAGACGTCAAAGCGTATGCTTCATTGAACCAGAATAGCAATCCAGGAAATGAAGCTTCCAATGATTCCGTGTACGAAGAATTACCCTGATGTATATGATCGCAAGAACCTTTCAAATTTTGAAATTTATTTCTATATCACGTTATTTCGTATTCTATAGATTTACATTAGTCATTAGTATATATTTCGAGGTGACTATTGATTTTCCTGTATTCTGATTGGTCAAGATTCACTGTCTCTGGTCGGTGACCATAACTTTTTGTTGTTGTTTTTCAAATAAGAAATTTGAAGTAATTATAAATTTTCATGAGACTGTGTTGATTATTATTTTAAAACACTTTGACCAATTGTTAATTAGTGCCTATATAGTGGCATTTAGCTGACGTATCAGTACTGAAAACGGCCTTTTTAAAGCCATGTTTGAAAAGCTTTTCCATACAGCTTTACCGCCTTCAAAATCTTTGCAGCGAGAGCCGATAAAAACAAATTCTGTCGTTTCCGGTAGAGGCTAGTCGTAAACATTAAGCTAAAGGCTCTAAGCATATTCCACTACTGTGCACACAGGATTTGTAACTTTGTAGGCGAAAAAGACTACATATATACAAAGCAGACTGCAAAAGCGTCTTTTGACTCTTTTCGATCGATTAAAATTTTTTTGACCATTCTTTCGGGAAGGAATTCGAGTAATCAAGTTTGCATAATGATATTAATTACGGATGTAACTAACATGGGTTACCTCTCGGGTTACAAGATTGATGCCATGATGGTTAACATGCTCAATTAAGCTCGTACCCAGGATCCTTCACTCCTCACAACCACACTCACAAACCAGAACAAACCAGGTCACAAACTGTCATATGGTTGATGACTTGTCTTGTATAACGATATACGTTGAACTTTTACAGTATTTATCTGAAAAAAAAGCACACAATGCGTAAATGAAACGGGTTATGTGGACTGCGACCAGAAATAAAGAAGACAAGCAGACAATATGTGGAATATACAAACAACAAATTGAGATATTTCGATCATAAATTCTTTAGTTGTAATCATGCTTCTTGCCCATTTTACTCGGTAAGTTTAACCCAAATGAAATATATTGAATGCTGTTTTGTCGTGTATTTCTATATATTGTTTTAGGAATATAAAATATTGAATACAGTTTTATTGTGAGAATATGTTTGGCCCAGTTTTAATACACACACTAGCTGCGCCACGTGCGCTTAATAGCGGTTTGCTTTACTTCAGTATATAATCCTTTGTTTTGACAAATTTTCAATAAATATCTGCCTATCTGGTACAATAATTCGCTGTTTATCATAATTTTAGTTGTCTTAAATTTTTCCAGCAAGTTTGCTTGGAAACGGGGATTTAATGGCACAAAATTGCGACAATATTTACACATATGTATTAAAGTCTGACAAGAAAAACCTTGGCAGTTTCCTGTCTATAGAGTATAGGGGGTATTTTTTGTGGTGTGCTCAGTATAATATTGCTTTATCAGCTGGACTCATTCATATATAGGATTGCTGATTAGTAACTTCTGCCATCCGTAGGGTAAAAATGTTTACCAAGGGATGCATAAGCTGATACATAAGCATGGGCCCAGTAATATATCACTAATATGCAGCTTTTAAGTAAATTGTATTTAATGTATATAGTGACAGAAAAATTACAATGAATTTTTTTCTAGTTGGCAGACATAAGACTTTTCCTTTTGCCTACTGTAGCATGTGTTGGTTGTCCTGACTCTATATTAGAGCCAAATATTTTGAGCTCAATATTTGATCCATCATGACAAATAATGCTGATGACATTTGCTGAGACTAGCAGAAAAAGAGTATATCTATGAGCAAGCTAGTCTACTCAATCATGTGCATTGACAATTATAATTTCTTTATCCTATATGGTAGTTACATAGTAGCTGACATATACCAGGATGAGTATCCCATACAGGGCTTCCACATTGCAAAGAAATCTCTTTTCAATTGACACTCCACAAGGGAGGGAGGGATCTGTTTTAATAGAATATATTATGCATTCTTTTCAAGTTCTTTGTTTATTTTTTTGCCACCCTTCTATGAGGTACAGTCATATGCAAATATAAGTTGTGTAAGCCCTGATCCTATACCTTTTTGACAACGCCATGTTATAGTAACTTCATTTTCTTGATATATTTTTTAGCTTGGTGTTTGACATTTGGTTCCATGTGATCTTGTGTCATCTTATGTCAGCTCTCTGCTCATTAAAATATGTCAAGATTGTTTTGGAAAAAATCTTGAGCCTCATTTGCATCCATTCGAACATTGAATAGAGGCCAAGGAGGTATGGTATTTTTGTGTTACTTGGACGTGAAAGCTTTTTGTTTAAAAATACCTTGAGAGATTACTTAATGTTTTTTAGCCCTATTTGTGTGTTTTTATACTCATGGTAGCTTTATAGTACCTGTTGCTATTTTTTTTTATTTATTCCTACTTCTTTCTCTTTACCTACGAAATACTGTAGAGGTTGATTTCTTATTACACCCATGGCATGGTAATGTTTAAATATATTTGTGATTGTTTCAGCCACGACCCTTACAACCCTGAAAATACAAGGATCAGCCACAATATTAGAAAGACAATGAAAGTATGACCTGAAGTTGGAACAAAAAGAGGTACCAGATTTTTGCTTCTCTTCTGATAGGTCACTAGGCAATGTCAAAAATATTGTGTCCACTATTGCAAAGTTGCATCTTTATTCTTTGTGCTTGCAATAGATATCTTCACTTGTTTTACTTTCAGTTGTTTATTATTTAAAAGTTTCATTATAATTTTTCATGTGCCATGTTTTCTGGTGTGCAGTGTTGTATTGTAATGTACTGTAGTGTGCTGTTTTGTATTTATACCACTTTTTATGGCTATTTTGTTGTGATGTTGTGAATTCCAACTCTCTCAAATTAGCTTGTAAATTGTTGCAATTTTATTATTTGGGCGCGAATCCTGTGAATATATAGGGTTGAAGTTATCGGTATTTTCTTGATTTTCCAAAAAAATTCGTAGTTTTCAGTAAATAATTAATAATTGATAAAATTCAAATTCACCATATTCGGTCTTCCGGTTAGAATTGAATCAATGAACTTATTGAACCCTCCCAGAATAGAAGCATTTCTGTGATCATACATAAATAAATATTTGTGTACCCGTATATTCAAATAGACAATTTATAAATTACTATAAGCACATTGAATCTACACACGTGCTATTCCAGAGCAGTGCTTTAACAACAAGGCTATGCCTATGGAGATATTATATATGTATATAAGAAGTAAGTGACCGGGTAAAGATGTATAAAACACAGAAACATATGCTACTTAAAAAGGTATATAGCATAAAAGAGGTACCTGGTACATGGCAAAAATATATGAATGCGTCACTTGCTATTTCCAGTTCCAGTTAAAAAATGAATGAAACTTGTTTTTTTACTTTTCTCGGCATTTAAGTGGCTAAGAAATGATGGAATTAAGTTGTATAGAAGATGGTAATTTTTTTAATTACAAATTTTCTAACCACTTGACACTAAAATAGCTTATCAGGTAAAATACATAATTGCCGGATAAAATTGGAAGATAAAATTGTATGCCATACTCTAGTGTAATTAAAAAACTGTGTTCATAGGAACCAATGTAGCTAATTGTTTATTTACATATAATTGTTTTTCTACTGTGCACTGCTTATCATCAAGGCTAAAATGTTCTCAAAGGATAAAGACTGTTCTTCCCTGATTGGTTTTTAATGCTCACTGTGTTCAGTAAACTAGGAGCTGATTGTTTATTCACATAAAAGGCAAATATCATCTACTGTGCACTCCTCATGAACCCATGTTTTGCACACAGTGCACTGCACCCTATCAGTTTGGGTATCCTTCCATCGACCACTACAAATGTGACAGATCCAGTCATTGTCTTCCTCTTCATTAGTCACCATACAGTTCTTTAAAAGTTTTTTTTCTCTTTTTGATTCTGGGCTTTCCCATCGAAACCTTTGCTCAACAAATCATTACTGCTTAAATCTGGTATAAATAGGTTTGATGAGAGCAATTATTTCATCTGGTAGACCAGGTCCAGGCTTGTACAAGTTTAGTGTTAATTGCCTTGTCTTGTTGTTAACGGCACCAACTATCTGAACCGTTGCATGATAAGAAAGTTTCAAAGTAGGCACGAGCATTTCCAGAACGAGAAGATTCACCGCCCAAAATCCTTTAAAATAGTAACGTTGCATGATAAGCAAGTTTCAAAGTAGGCACGACTGCGAGCATTTCCGGAACACAGATTTGTTCGGTATAGTATATGTGAGAATGTTTCAGCTTATAAAAGAAAAGGCAATTTCGGTTGTGAAGTCACAATTCGTTCTAAAACCTTAGACAGTTCTCCTTCGTGGTGTCTTTGCATTGATCGTCGATCTTGATAAACTGGTATGCTGTGTTTGGATAGGCCAAGCTCCTTGTCACCGTTTATGTATAGTTTTGCCATATCGTTGAGCGCCGAGTCGCATTGAAGGACTGAAGACACCAATCTACTTTTGAGTGATTCATAAGAAACCGGGTGCTCTGTCCCCCGTCCATTTCTTGTTTATTCACCACTCTGTAGAACGACTGTACCACTTTTCGCATAAAAATATAAAAAATAAGACAAAACTCTTGCCCAACTGCGGAGTAAAACGACGCGTCTGTGTACAAAGATTTGATAAAAGCCTCCTCATCAAACATGGCATCAATTTTCAGACCATTGCTAAATTGGACTTCAAAGATATCAGACAAAGTGAATTTCCGCCTTGTTCCTTCCAGAAATGCTTTCACAAATACTCCTTCTGGGAGAACCAGATCTTTCAAAGAAGATTCCCTGTTGTTGACCTATTTAAAAAAGTTGGAAAAATGCGTGTCTAGCATATCTCCCTAGACCACGGCAATGAGCACTTTTTTCAAACGCCAAAACACAGTTGATGACAGTTCCCCACCAATCTCAAAATCTTTCTCTTGGACGTGTGGCATTTGGGCAACGTAGGTGGCACATCGTCGAAACTCAGCATCGCCAAGCTCAGAGAACTTCTTTTTGTCCACCGGGTATCCTTTTTTCAGATAGCACTCCACACAAAACATGAAATAGACGTGCAAAGTCAAAGCATTTTGACAACAACCGATTGAGGTCAGAGAAGCAATTGTCGAATCGAATAACAATCTGGTTGATCATATCTCCGCCGAGCTTTTGCAGATCACGAATGCTATCGTCTAGTTCACGTGCAGACCAATCTACTGGAACTGCATTGTCACCACCGCCAACGACAAACCATCCAATCTCCAGATCACTTTGACCTTAGCTGACAGGTTGTCATCATCCTGAAATACTCTGGTGGCATCTGCAGGTTAAGTTACTGTTTTTGCTGCTGGAACATATAAAGATAGTATTGTTATGTTTGCATATAACTGTTTCCCTCACTGAAGGTTTCTCATTAAAGATTTCTGCCTTTCTGAGTTTTCTCATGCGTCAAGTCATTGCGAGGTAGCACACTATTCTTGACTGACATAGATTCTCCGGAGTTCACTCGCTCCTGTCTTTTCACGCGGTCTATACATTGTCAACATCTCGATCTTGTGTCTGTCCGGTTTCTGGGGCATTACGTCACATTTTACATTATTTCTGAATGAGGGGAAGTGAACGGCAACAGCTTTTGACAGATGAACTGAGTTGTGGGAATATTGTAGGTGCTTCGACCAAATGAAGGCTTTTCCGAACATTAATATCTTTTTACTCATCCAAACTGCTGATGTAGGTAATAATGGCATGCATGCTTTGACGAATTTTTACTCGCTCGAATCGAAACTTCACGCATGAAAATATCAGCTATTTGCGATGGAACTGCTGCTTTTTTATAAATGGGGCGCCTTTCTTGTTAGCTCATGCAAACTTTATAAGAAGTACATATACTAGCAAATTAAATTAACAACTAGGTTGCCTGCAAGGTAGGGATTGCTGCGAGCATTTTAGGGTCCAAGTGAATTGTTATATGATTGTTAGTAAACTAAATCCGTTTTGACTAATAGCAATAGAAGGTTTAAAACACGTAAAGTGAACCTCTATATAGCGTTAACTCGGGATGTACATGAATTAATACCTGTTAGTGAGAACACTTTCAATGACGTCAATATGTAGGTCCATTTATGCTAACCTAACTAAAGTTCTAACTTTTATCTCGAAATTGTTTTGAAATAGGCTGGTTTATATTATGATTTCGCGGATAAATTTGCTATAAAGAAAAAAGATTTATAAATGTTCAATTGCCCAAAGGATTTGTAGATTGCACTCGGCAAAAACAAATCGTCTGAAAAGAGCTATTTTACAGTGTCATGAATACCAATTTCCCCGGTGTTGGATACACCCGGGAGTGTTTTTCCCGCTGTCGAAGGGTAAAGGAGAGAACGCTGTCTTGCGAGTTGCAGCTCGTTGAAGTCAAAGTCTTTAGAAGCAGCTAGTTTTAAAAAATATTTTAACATACGAATCACAACAGGAGTATTAACAATAATAATAATATTAGGTAGAATTTAGCGCGCGTAGCGACATTAATTTTCCCCGCAACAAAGTTGAAAGTATTGTACTTTTCAGTTTCCGGGCGGAAAATATTGTTTGGGCGCAAAATTCCACCTAGCGAAAATACAGGCCCTGAGCAGTAGCACATGTTTAACAAAATAGAACATTTTTTGGTAACATGGTATTTGTTTTTGAAATATGCTATTTGTCTTTGTTGTAAGAGTCCATGTAAATGTTTGGCTTCATGTGAAGAGTAACAAAACATCACTTTAATCACTTTTGAACTTTGAACGCGCTCGAGAAGACGTGTAATCAGAAACCACGTGAAGATCCGGTAAAAGCACTAAATAACAATAACATTTAGCTCATTGTAAAATAGGAATAAAAACATATGCCTATGCTTACAGTAACCTAATATAAAACAAGACGCCTGTTCTGGCGTTAACTCCGGCGCACGTGCCAGTCTTCAATATAGAGCTTCTGAACATAAACAATAGAGTTCATATTCGCATTTAGATACCTTCCGAACCTATAAATGTTCGATCGCGAAATTCAGAAGCACATCGTACTTTAAAAAGTATAGAAGTTCAATTCTTCAAAAATGTAAATAAACTGCATGATACATTCGCTTTGTCTCACACTTTGCCTTTGGAATTCGCGCTTATATAGTTATATTAAATCTTCAATCCTGTGCAAACTACGACGTGTCAACGCGCCCATACACGACCACATCTTCTTGTTAAACGGCGAAATAGCAGTGATATTATTAAAATAGGACCAGAATCAACATGTATTAATATATTCTTACCCCAATTTAATCTAAACTTAATCGAACAGCATGAAAACAACGGTTTATTCGTTCCTCTTGGAGGAATTGTCGTATCATGCGAGCGAAATCGAATCGCGCATCGGAAAATTAGCCAAAGCTGTACACTACAACTCCTGGTAGATAAGACTGGGACATAGATAAATACGATTACATACACATTTCAAATACTAGAATGTTTCGCGCCATTTCAGACTTGCGACGACGAAAAAATAAAAAAAAAACAACAAAACAAAACTGAGGCGAATTTTCAACTCCGTCGCTGACGCCGGAGTAATTAGAGGTTTTTCGTTTTATGCACATGCACTGCATTGCTCTGCTCTAAATTTAATGCAAGTTGTCTGCTGACAAATACGAGCATGCACGAGAGGGAGAAATTTCAAATGTAGCTAATTTGGACCAGCGTGGTAAAACTAATTGAAAGGAAATTGAAATAACTAATACCTCAATTCTTGACATGTTATTGCGTAATAATCAGAACATGAAAAAGCTAAACTATAGTGATTCTCAAGCATAAGTTATGCCAGGAAATGCAATTTCTATTGGAAAGTACATATAAAGGCAAAATGAAGCAAAAAAATTGTATAAG